TTAATTGTCATCAAAATCTGCTGTCAAATAGAGCAAATAAACGTATACAGCCGTAGATAAGATAATAATAAGAGTCATTCAGGCCTTCTCAAGTGCACAGAGACGTGAACGATTCTGTCAGAAGCTCAGATTTGTGATTCTTATCTGTAACTCTTTGCTAAATATTAGCGGCTTTGACGGATTAACCTGAAGCAACAAATGTCACATAGACCCTACAAGGTAGAACAATTTAATATTTGACAGGAATGAAAAGGAGGCTGTGAGGAATATAGTTCATTTGGATTAATTTTATGTTTAGCAAAAAATTTGTTTGTTACTCAAGTTTTGTCAACACGAACAGATAGGCTACCACATGCTGTCATGTCAAATATATATTAGCCTATACATTTTTTCGGCCTACTGATTCATCCTCAGATGGTTTTAGGTGCTCAGTGTTTAATTTGAATAAAATAATGGGACAAATAAAATAGCCTGTATACAATTGTGCGAAGAACTTTGTTATATACATGTTGCTTTTATCACAAGGTTGAATTGTGAAAAATGTTAGACTTTGATGTAAAACAGTGGGTTGTTTTAACATTCACCTGCCAAAGAAATTCACTTTAATGGATACTCAACCAAATTAGATCACAGTAATAAATCTGGCCAACTCCCTGTGTGCTAGAGTTAGAGTAAACAACAATAACCATGCGTCATGTTCTTAAAAGTAACTTTCAAGAATCCCAGACAGTCAAAAAAAAAGAATAAATCCCAGACAGTCACAAGAACAGGAGTGGTCGCGTCACATCCGATAAGAGCAGTCATTGTGAGAGAACGGCGGCCTCTACTGGAGACGTTTGGAAATGCTTCTTATCCTATGTGATGCGAGAATGAATATAGATGGAGATATTTCCATTTCCATTAAGACATTTCCAGTTAGCAGTTGTTTACAGATAATTATGGAAAATAGCACAAAAAAAAAAAAAAACTGCAGCAGATTCATTATGAAGCCAGATCCACTGAGGTATGGAGGACGAAACCTGCAAAAACAATAAATAAATAAATACACAAATAAACCACATTTTTTTCCCCTCTGCGCCACATGCTAATGAGAGGGTGTCAACTATGCAAGAGTAGGCGGATCGTGTGTGACGCGCTTGAGCGTTTGCCTGCGCATGCGTATTAACTTCATCAGTCAAGGGGACTGATTATTATCTTACACTTTTTCATAAGGCTTGTCACAGATACTGTACGGACAATACAGCTCAGTTTTTTTTATGTATCTTGCTCTGTTAAATGGAAAAAGTGACTTTACATAGGCCATACTGGATTAACACCATGCATTTCCTCTCAGCGGGAAAGCCGCGCCCCCAGCTATGACATGACCCCGACCAAGTCCATGGTTGACACCCTCTCATTAGCATGTTGCGCAGAGGAAAAATAAATGTGGAACTACATTCAGAAATAAATGAGTGATCAAAGGAAAATAGTTAGGTATTTATTTATTTGCATATTTATTTATTTATTTATTTGTGTATTTATTTATTTATTGTTTTTGCAGGTTTCGTCCTCCATATCGTCCTCCATAGGCCAGAGTATCAGAACAAGTGTGGAAAATGATGATAAAGTTAAAGATAAAGTTGTTTTTTGAAAACTTTGAAAAGCACTTATGGTTTATATAGCTGTGTCATGCCAGTTTGAGGTTCTACATACCTGTAGTTTGGGTACGTCAAACTATTTTTCCCCAACAGAAAGTCTACTGGTATCTAAAAACTAGTCCCGAGGAGCTCTGGCATCACTGTAGTTCAGTGAGACATTCAGAGAAAGTGAAACTCACTTGATCAACAAAAATATGGGCGCCTGAGATGATCAAACTCTTTAAACAACAGAATGTTTATTGAGCAATTCAAAGACGCTTGTGGACACATCTGATACTCACAGGTAAGTGACAGAAATTGAGATTGTCCTGAACATGGTTTCTAATGGAAGTTATCACTTTAATTTCCTTCTCGGTTAGAACAGATTTAATTTACACTTGAATGATCAAAATTATTAAAGCAAATGCACTTAATTGTTTGTTTGTCAGTTTATTGGTCAATATTTTTTTTGTCAAAAACAATGTATTTTTTCTTGAAAAGAGGTGAAGAACAATGGCAGAATCTTCATCAACATCAACAAAAGGAAGAGAAAACAGAAGACTGAGTATAGATGAACCTCCATGTAAGTCAATAACCTGTAAAAAATGAATTAGTGCCTGAATGATTTTCACTTTATTTATATGAAAAATATTATTTTACTTATTAAAGAAGTACAGTTCTATATTCGACTTTATGGGTTCTATCAGGCATTTCATATTTGCAACAATATCTCTGACTGTCTCCGTGTTATCAGACTGTCTCCATGTTATAACTCTTCTTGTGTTGTGGGGGCTTGGCATCCTGGTTGGAGATGCAAGTCATACAAACAATTTCTCTCTAAAGAGAGAATAGTGCAACTGAAAACAAAAAGATATCTCTCAAAATTATAACTTAAAACTTGAATCTGAGAGTATGGTGTTGTCACCTGAATGAACATAACCAAAAAAGTAATTCTGCACTCCATCCCAGAACTTCAATAACAGTGCCAACAAAAACAAAACTCTCTACGAGTCGAGGCCATACAGGGTTGCCAACTTTGCCAAACAGTTCATTTTATAGTTCATTACTCCAATACCCAAGCCTTCATTTTAAAATTGTAATGATTTAAGCTGAAACTTTTTGATCAAGTGTTTTTAAAGATATGAATTAAAGTGTGTCTGTGCTGTAGGTAGTGTAGGTGATTTATCTTCATCATTTCTTTTTCCAGCAATGTCATCCAGTGGTCCACTGACTGAGCTTCAGTGCTCTATATGTCTGGATGTGTTCACTGATCCAGTCAGCACTCCATGTGGACACAACTTCTGCAAGACCTGTCTGAATAAGTGCTGGGACAACAGCCAGACCTGCAGTTGTCCATATTGTAAAGAAACATTCAAGCAAAGACCTGATCTCAAGATTAATACCACACTCCGAGAGATCGTAGACCACTATAAAAAGAAATATATTGAAAAAAAGAAAAAAACTGAAGTTCTGTGTGACATCTGTGAGGAAAGAAAGCTGAAAGCCCTGAAGTCGTGTTTGGTGTGTCAGAGCTCTTACTGTGAAACTCACCTGCAGCCTCATTTATAGAAGGATTTCTCCTCTCTCCTGCTGTAGATTTACTCATCCCTGTGCAGCCCTACAAACACCAGGAACTGGCCTGAGATCAGTATGAAGACTCATCAGAGTCTGGAGACTCTGAGGAGAGCTCTGACTCAACTGCAGGAAACTCTACATGAGAAACTCACACAAACTGGTATGTGCAGATACATATATTTATTATCTTTTAATATCAGTAATGAAGAATGAGTCTAGGTCAAGCTGAAATAAGAGAAGTATGTGATCATGTGTTTGTGGCTCATTATCAGCACCTCACAGATGGTAAAGAGGACAGGTAATTTTTTATCTCTAATTTCAAATTCAAATTCATCTTGTACTAGAAGCTTCATCCCTGTAGCCACAACTATGAGACATTAACCAATATTAAATCAAATTGATAGGCATCAGTTGTTTAAGACGCAAACATGTTCTTCATTAGAATTTGTGTGTCTGAAATGTCTGGCTTAAAGTTCAAAGGGCTTAGTGGTGCTGGACTTTAATTTCAAGTTTCAAAACATTTCATGATGTTTTATTGTCATGTGTCTCTACGGAGCTGAAGTGGATGCAGTACTATGCATGTACAGTGTGCTGTATGAACTACACTAGATAACATTGATCTTAACGTTAATATTAAAACATCATCACAAAATCTTTGTCGGGGGAAGTTGTGATTAATATTCTGTTTTCCCAGTGGATGTGACTCTAGATCCTGATACATTTCATGCGTATCGCATCCTGTCTGATGATAGAAAACAAGTGACAGATGGAAACATTTGGCAGAAACTCTGAGACAACAAAAAGAGATCTGATAGATGTGTACATGTCCTGGGAAAGGAGGGATTCTCTTCTGGGAGAATTTATTTTGAGGTGCAGGTAAAGGGAATGACTGACTGGACTTTAGGAGTGGTCAGAGAATCCATTGACAGGAAGGGAAAGATCACACTGTGTCCTAAAAATGAATACTGGACTATGTGGCTCTGAGGAATGGGAATGAATACATTGCTCGTTCTGATTTGTGTCTGCGTCTGTATATGAGTACAGTTGAAGTCACAGCGGGTCAGTGTGTTTGTGGATTATGAGGAGGTTCTGGTCTCCTTTTATGATGTGGAGTCTGGCTCTCGTTTCTACTTTTATGCCGGTCAGTCTTTCACTGAAAAACTCTATCCATATATGCCCATGCCTACACAATGACGGTAAAAAGTTAAGCCCACTGATCATTACACATCATTATGTAAAAATGTAATGCTCAAATATTTTTTTCAGTGTTTCGTAAATGTTTGCCTTTTTTTTCTCTCATCTACACCTGACAACATGAAGTGATCTGTAAAAAGTTTACATTAAAATAAATCAAACTATGATAACCTTGATATATGCAGTTGTATAGAGGTTCAAACTACAGGTGCATCTCAATAAATTAGAATGTCGTGGAAAAGTTCATTTCAGTAATTCAACTCAAATTGTGAAACTCGTGTATTAAATAAATTCAATGCACACAGACTTAAGTAGTTTAAGTCTTTGGGTTGGGTTTTTGTTAAATGTGAGCCAAAATCATCACAATTAAAGGTGGCAAAGAAGAGACACCAAACATGCATTATTATATTTTTTCTCTTCCTTATTAATGCTGTTTCACTCTCCAATCTAGTCAATGGCAAATACACGCGCGCGCGCGCGCGCACACACACACACACACACACACACACAAAAGAGTTGGTTCGGCAGCCACCATTACATCAAAGAAGTACATGACACTACGATTCCCACAAGTCCACGCGGCGGAATGGTAAGTATGAGCGCTTCCGGGTCCTCCTCGGATTGAGTGTGTTACTGAGGCTCGAGTTCTCTGTTTTCTCGCTCTTCTCTTTTCTCTGTAAATGGCGCAATGATGTAGATAAGGAGAACATTTGAGACTCTCCATGACATGCGCTACCGGCCTCCGTCCCCGCGGGATTCGGCGTGAAGACTGTAGTGATGTTCGGTTCGCGAACGAATCGTTCGATTTAACCGGTTCTTCTTAGTGAACCGGTTGAACCAGTTCACCAAATCTGGCTGAATCATTTGAAACGGTTCGCGTCTCCAGTAAGCATTAATCCACAAATTACTTAAGTTATTCACTTTTTTAACATGTCAAACAGTACACTGACTGAACTGCTGTGAAGAGAGAACTGAAGATGAACACGAGCAGAGCAACCGGATAACGAACGTACACGCCCACTGCTGGAGCGGTTCTCGTTCTCGAGTCAAGAACCGGTTGCATCGGTTTTCGGATCACCAGTATACTGAACCTAGAA